TTTTCGGATTGTTTTCAAATCACTTTATCGTATATGGACTAGTCGTGTGAAAATGAGTACACCTGTCGTCAATAACGAACAAAAATGCGTGATATATTTGTACTTAACATTGCGTTCAAATTCTCTTTTGTATATAAACACAATGCAGCTTCTTTTTTCTCTATACACAAACAAGATATTAAAATACAAACAGATTGAGATACATTGAAGAAATATGAACAAGCAATATGCTTCTTTATTCATTGCAATTGCAATGATGGTGACTAACGTCTATGGAAGTTGTTTACAGCTTAAAATACTTTCAGCTCACTCTGTGTTTTATAAAATACAAGATGTAATAGTGGAAGTTCAATACAATAATACTAGTAATGACACAATATCAATTTATAAATGGTGTTTACCAAACAATGAATTAAATGATCCATTATTCAAAGTAACTTGTAATAATGTTCCAGTTAATTATGTTGGTCCATTAATAAAACGACGTGAACCAACCATTGAAGATATGATTTCTCTAGAACCTGGTAAAACAAAAATCATTCAAGCTCGATTATCATCAGCATATGATATGACTAAGACTGGTATTTATTCAATTCAATATGATATGCCAGCTGAACGTGTTGTCTTCAAACATGCTCGAACATTTGAGAATATCATTTTTAGGTCTATTAGTAAACGTCATTCTGGTCTCGAGTCAAATAATATTCAGTTGATCATCGAAGGTCGTCCAAATATTCAACGTGAACAAAATAAAACTATGAATGTAATTAGAAGAGCAGCTACTCTTTCATATGTTTCTTGTTCGATAACCCAGAAATCTCAAATAATGAATGCAATCTCTTGGGCTCTTAAGTATACCGATAATTCTTTCAATTATTTGAATAAGACGAAACCCTCTGGAACAAATCGCTATAAGACTTGGTTTGGTCGATTTACTTTGTCTAATTGGAATACACAAAAGGTACACTTTCGAAATCTCAAAAATGTATTCAATTCAAAGACGTTGACTTTTGATTGTGGATGCACCATTCCGAATACTTATGCTTATGTTTACAGAAATCAGCCATACATCATTCATTTATGTCCTGCATTTTGGTCCGCTCCAATGACAGGCACAGACTCGAAAGCTGGCACATTTATTCACGAGACCTCACACTTCCCAGTAGTTGTTGGTACCTATGATTATGCATATGGTAAGATGGCATGCACAAGTCTAGGATTGAGTGGTCCATCACAAGCAATCATGAATGCTGATAGTCATGAATATTTTGCTGAGAATTTTCCTGTGCTCTTGTGACGAAGTGTAATAAATACTAAGTTAATTGAAAGATATTTTTGTGTCAATAGTACTTAGGATCCGATATGGTATTCGTTTCCTTTTCTACAAAGAACATGTAATATTGTTTTTTTTTTTCTTTTTTTTTGCGTAAAGTTTTGAGCATAAATATGATATGTCGTATAGTAACTTTAGATTTTTTTAAACGTTTTAATAGTATTTTTTTTGATTGCTTAGTGAAAACTTGTTTTGTTTGTAAATACAGTTTCAGTATTATATATATTTGGTTTCTTCTTTAATCTGTGTTGCGCCAGTTCTACCATTATTATAAATAGTTGCGATAATGATTCACAAGGATCATTATCGTTTAACGAACAAAGAAAACATACAAATATTTTTTCCTTGCGAGCAGAAGCTTTCTGAATACGTCTACAATAAACGACATCAGTGCAATCAGCATTCATAGCACTGATTATCTGCTTGCATAAGATGCACGTTAATTACTGTTTTATATTCACTTTTTTTTTTTGGTGTGCTCTTCTCTAATATATAATGAGTAGTAGAGAGCAAACAACTCTGTTCAATGTAGATTGAGGAACAGCAATGGCTAAATGATTTCTTATTAATAATTAATATTATTTCGTACTTCTCATGATCAGTTGACGATGGATTCAATGAATATTTGTGATTTATTACTATGATCATGTTTTCTAAGAGCAGATTCTATTTGATTCTCGTTTTTGTTTCAATTTTTGCCTTTTAGGATAATGTTGCACTTTTTTTCGTTTTATTTGTATTGGATTTACATTAATCAACTGAATTCGATCCTGCAATTGATAGTTTTGAAGATGTTCATACGTATTTCGTTTGTTTGTAGATTCATGCTCAGTGAATCTTGTGGACCGTTGTCGTACGTTTTTAGCTATGTGTGAAGTTTCGCAATTGGAATAATTAATTTCATCAAGAAAAATTAGATTGAAATTTTTTAGACATAGTATTATAGAGCACTTCAACAAGTATCTATTTCTTTTCATCTTTCGTTTGTCGTTCTTATGCTTATAATCTAAGTATTTCTCTTCGATTATATGTGTGTTATGTACATATCGAGGTGAATCTTTCGTCTTTCGTCTTTTCTCTCTCTTCATTATATGGAAATGTGTTGGTTGACGAATGGTTAGCTGAGATTTTCTGAATGAATCAATTTTTTTAATTGTTGGGAAAAGAAGGAGTTTTCTATTTTTTCCTGAAGTTTTGCTACTGAGAGATGCTAATGTAACATTAGTGCTGTCATCATAGTCTATTGACAACAGTAAAAACAAAAACGTAAGAAAAAAAGCAATCTGACCAATTCAAATCTGTTTTAGATTAGTGATATATATATTAGATTAAATTATTTGAAGATGGGGCATCGCATTGTAATCTTCGATTTCATTACTCCGCTTCATTCTAATAACCTCTTCGACAAATTTGCATTCAGCAGAAGTCAAATAGTTGTCATTTAGACTATTATTGTAATTGGAGCATTTGATAGCATTAACTCATTTCGTTGTACTTCAGAGGGTAATTCACTTGATTGGTGAGATGGACTTGAAATTAGTTTTATTACATTGAATATCAATGATGCTGATCGTCTCATTCATACAGAAAACAAATTACTACTTTTGATTGGCATGGTGATAATCAAGGTTCATATATACTATGGATGGCGTTTTGTCAAATATTTTATAGAGCAGTTCTCTCATCTGTGCGTCGACATAATGCACATGTAGTAGTTGAACAAAGAAATCAACGTAAACAAAGTCCTGATGAATTATTGCATGATTATTTTTATGCATCAAATAAGTTATGTCAGGAATATGATTTACAAATGTCAGCTATTTACAAAAACGTGGCAATTGATTGGTGGACCTGAAGAAGAATTGGAAGAAAAATTATTATCAATAAACTTTCAAACAACTGAGCAATTCATGGTTGAAGCAAAGAACTTCCAATCTAGTAAAATGGTTATGACTCATCATCAAGTTCAAGATAAATCTCTTGAATTATCTGAATCAGTATATTCTTTCGAGTCTAATGATAATTCAACCATTGTGGCATCTTAACCATGTCAACAATCACATGATCAACTACTCTACCGACCTATTTATCATCCATCTCAACAACAATGGTATCGATCACCATACATAGCACAACAGTTTAGACAATATTGTCATAATCAAATTATTCGTGATCAGCGAACATTACCAGCATCTAAGAACCAACAATGACAAACAAAAAGTCTTAATTCACTAACTAAACAACAAACTGGTGAATCATCTCGAAATTATCAACAAACAAATAATAATTGTCAACTATGTATTAATTATGTGAAATGTTTGAAATGTAGACGGACAGATCAAATACAAAAATGTTGTCCACGTCATTTGAACCAATAACAAACACAATAAATGGCGGAACTGTCTTTAACAACAACAAAAGTCGGTCTACAACTTTTATGTTTATTTTTCAAGTTAATAATAGATTAATTGATAGTATGGTCAATAAAGAATCAGTAAAATCTATTATCTAGATGAGCACCTGGACAATTTAGTACGTTGACCATGTACTGGATATGAAAAGAATACATATCGAACAGCAAACGACATTGATTTGCATACGTTTGGATTAGAGAGGTTAAAATCTCGCATTAGAAAATTTTCAACATGTGTATTAGCTGAAGTTGTTATTGATCTTTGCACTAGATTAGTTTTAGGAAATGATTGAATTAGTTAGAATGGTATTGATATCTTTACTACTGGAAGAAGTATCCGTTAATGTCAAGCATCACATGTTGTTACTGTTCGGTTTTCAACTTAAGACCTAGAATCATACCCGTTTTCTCGTATTTACTCTAGTTGTATTTTACTAGTATAAGAGGCGACTATACCTCTACATGTTAAAATAAAAGCATCAATGTGGAACTCGAAGAGATATTCGGAGTTTGAACAGTTTAAAAGTCGAATGCTTCCATTATCAGTTTCATTTTAAAACTGAAAGAAGAAGTTTAAAACTCGTAGCCAATTAACGATTTCCACACTGTTGAATAAAAATGCTGATCTCTAGTATTTTTATTTCATGAAACAATTTTATTGCAAGAAAAGAAAAATATTAATTCTACAGAATGCCCCAAAAGCCAGCAGAAAAGTAAATTCGTGTATGTTCACTATTTATCAAGCTTAATCAAGTAAGTTTTTTTTCAGATGAGACATATAACTGTAAAGTTTTTATTGGTACGAACGAGTTTCACAAATATTGTTTGAAGTTATCACTTTCGACTGAAATACAAAAAGCAGTCTTTTTTGTGACTTCGGAAAAGCATACTTTGCAGTGTTTCGCTTTCAATGCTTTAATCTTGGTCTTTTTTAAGGCGCTGATACCGACCACATCGAGCACTATCAACGATATGACTCTGATGTGATATATCACTATGAAAAATAACTAATTGTGTCAAATTCGATGAGCATGAAACCCGTATGGCTGCTATCACGTTTTGAAAGATGAATGATGAACTGGAAGAGGTAAGTTGATCTCAGGAACTTCCTGATTATTGGATTTGACACAGTTAGGTATTTTTCGTAGTGATAAATCAGCTCAAATTCATAGCACTGATAGTGCTTGGTGTGGCCGGTATAAACGCCTTAAAAAATGACTAAGGCTAAAGCGTTGAAAGAGAAACGCTGCAAAGTATATCTTTTCTGAAGTCAAAAAAGACTGCTTTTTGTTCTTTCGTCGAAAATGATAACTTTGAACAATATTTGTGAAGTTCATTCGGACAAATAAAAATTACACAGTTATATCTATCATCTGAAAAAACTTAGTTGATTAAGCTTCGTAAATAGTGGACCTATACGAACTTACTTTTCTGCTGACTTTTGGACACCATTTAGATTATTGATTAAAAGTTGAAAATGGTAATAACACGGAAAACTATGATAAATGTCAGTGAACCGTTTTAATATTGAAATATAAACATAATTCTTGGTACAAGTTATTTTCCATCATCAACTTGTATATCATTACCATTGTTATCAATACAACAGGTTGAAGTATATACTGCATATGTTCTTGAATGTCGTATATATCATAAACAATACTCGTCAAGGAAGCAGTTATTTTAGCACTTATATCAAACTACTCATTATTCAAAATATGAAACAAATGAATCTTTCCAAAAAATTTCATCAGGTATGCTTGAAAAAAATTGAAAATTTAGTAGAACATATTATAAATGCACATGAGAAAAAAATAAATTGAATTATTACTTATTAAATATGGTCAAACTTTTGATACATGTAAAGCAATAACAATCAATTTAGCTGTTAAACATACTGTAGCGGTAAGTAATACTTGATCTGTCGTTCAACACCCCTATAAGAAAACATCAACCCAAGAAAAACTAATTGTTGTAATGTGTAAGTAATTTTATCGTGTTATCATCATGGTAGTCACGAGTAGTGCTGCAAAATAAAGAGGACGCTACTCGTGGATTTTGCATTGATTGCAGAAGATTGAACAAAGTAACAGAAAAAGATAATCATTCATTATTAAGAATAGATGAAATATTCAATGCCCTTGATGATGCAAAGCTTTTTTCTGAATTAGACTTTCAAGACAGTTATCACTAAGTACCAATGAATGAAGCAGACAAACAAAAAATAGTATTTGTAACGAGAGACACATTTTAGCAATAGAATGTAAAGCCTCAACCCAGGTCAATCACGGCCAGTCGTACATGGCCGTACACCAACAGTAAACCATGCTTTACGTCACATTACGGCTAGCGTGAAGTATGCTAGTAAAAGGTCAGCGTAAACGACTAGCGCAACAATACGGCGACTGTATACGTTGTTCGGAAAATATCGTAAGGCGTCGTATGCATCAGCTGCTTACGGTATTTATTGACGGTAATCGTCAAAGATACTTTACGGTGTATTACGACGAACGGAAACAACCACTATAAATCGTCACCGTTCACGACCAGC